AAATAATACACTTTTTAAAATATTAGATTATAATAATTAATATAAGCGTAATATGTAGTACCATAACTAGGTCATGCTTATCTTACAATTAGTGCATTTTTACAATACTCTTTTTATTCTGGAAAATAATCAAAACTTTCCATACTATATGTTCAAACTTTCTATGATAATTAACATTTATTCATAATATTTTATAAATAATATATAAACCAGGTTTCTATTATATTAATGCACAGGCTGCAAAAATTACCATACTTTTCAAAATGCATGTGTGTGTACGGATACAAATTTTCGTCCACCATTTCGGAAACACGAATCAACCGATTTGAATAATTCAAATTGGACACGGGCTGATTAGCGTTCGGCAAACATAGGTCCAGCCATTTCAAAGATGCGGGACAAAAAGTGACAAAAATTGAAATTCAGTTTTTGAGAGAACGGAGCGTTAAATTTGAATAATTTTAAAAATATTGCAGTTGTACTGACAAACTGAAAATTGGTTAAATTTTTGGGAAAGCAGGCCTAGCGGTTTCGGAGATCCAGTAAAAAAGGTAATAAAAAATGCCATTTGGCGCTCAAAAACGACCATTAGACATATGCACATCAAATTATCAGATATTTTATAGAGATTTTAATAATAAGAACAACCACATTATATTTTCATGGGTTTCGTACTAATGTTTATATGTTAGACTACAACGTGGCGCTTACGCGCTTCAATATTTCATCTATAAAACAACTATAAACATAAAAGTAAACTTCTTTCAAAACTCTCAAAAATCTAATTTTGTCAAAGTTTTCAAAAAATTTTAAAGCTTTCTTAAAAAAAATATTTTTCAGTACAGGAAGTTTTTTCAATTGGCCTTAAGACACGATGCCATGCATCATTAGTTAAGAAATGATATTACTGTTTGAAACATGGTGAAAGATATCGACTTGAAAAATTAACGCAAATAATGAAACACCCATAGTGATACTTATATGAAATATATCATCTTAAAGAAAATATAATTTTAATTAACTTCAATTTTACAAACAAAACACACGTAACCAAATACTTACAGAGAGAAACAAATAATCATTCACTAAATAACATAATTAAAATAGAGAAATGCAAACTGATACACAAAATGAAATTTAACCGAATTAAAACAAGTGCAACAATAGACACAAATCAAGATATACATGAATACTACACTAGACAACACAACAATTTTCACATTGAACGGAATAGAAAAATATATAACGAATTGCCAGACTATATTAAGATGACCAATGATAATGATAATTTTAAAAGAAAAATAAAGAAGTACTATAAGGAAATTGAAGACAAAGAAGACTGAAGAGTTATATATATATATAGATATTATATTAATGAAATAGATATTATAGTCAAATGAAATGTATATATTAAATGAAAACTGTTCATAATCTCTCATAACAGGCACCTCTGTCTGACTGAGATATGAAAATAATGTATATATGTAAATTAAAAAAAAAATGTATCCTTCGCATTTTTACCCTTTGCACGATTTCGCGAAAACGTTCCGCTCATAAAGTCCCCGTGTAGGTCATATTAGGAATGAGCTTAGTTGTGCAGTTACTGGGACACGTGGTGCGCTGGCGCTGCCGTAGTCCAACGCCGGCTATGTGTGTACTACACGGTACTACGAGACTACGATTCGTAGCATCATTGAGTGAAACTACGGACTTGATCGTAGCGAATAATAGAATAAGTGATTGAGATACATTTACAACAAATAAAATTGCAATGTAACACTTAATTAACAATTTTAATACATATTATAAAGAAACATGCTTTAAACTTAAATTTTAATTAGCAATACATAATACATTTAATTTTAAAGTTTTGTTCGTGTTCAATATATGTTGCATATTCGAGAATAAAGTGATGGTGAATTCTACAATATATAGTAAATATATGAGTAATATTTAATAAAAAAATTTATTCACCCATTATTTCATATTTTTTCGATGCCCTTCTCTTTATATTCATATATAGAATCTTAAAATAAGTGATGTATCAAAACAAGAATAATTTATAAAAAGTGTTGTTAATCTAAATTTTAGACTAACAATTATTTTTACAATTTATTTTTCTTTTGATACATCAGTTATTTTTATTTTGTATCAATATAATAAATACATATACTTTAATTTAAATTAAACATTATTCATGAAAGTAAAATCAATTTAATATTACAGAACTGATTCTTATGAATCTTTGCGTGAAATTTAACGATCACAAAATAAGAAACTAGCTGTAAGTGGAATTCTGTCTTAAGGCAAATAGGGCAACGTGCCTTAAGGCAAATTGCTGGTACTTCCCGTAAGTTGATCAATGATTTGAAACTTTTAATAGAATTTCGAACCATATTAAATAATTCTATCTCAAATCATTTATTTTGAAATATTTTGGAAATTCTGAACTTTTTTTTCAAGCAATCGTACTGCTATAACTGCATAAAGACAAAATATCAAAGCGCGTAAGCGCCGCGTCGCCATCTAACGCGTAAACATACGGTATGGTACGGAACCCATAGAAATATAAACAAAATTTATACTTATTGTTAAAATCTCTATAAAATATCTGATAATTTGATGTGCATATGTCTAATGTTCATTTTTGACCGAAAAAATGACTCATTTTTTTACTTTTTCCTCCATATATCCAAAGTCGTTGGACCTGCCTTTCCAAAAATTTGAACAGTACTTCATTTAGTCAATACAAATAAAATGTTTTTTGAATTATTCAAATCGGACGCTCCGTTCTCTTAAAAACTGAGTTACCGTTTTCGGCACTTTTTGCCCCGTATCTTCGGAACGGCTAGACCTGCCTTTGCCAATAACTAATCAGCACGTCTTCTTATCAATACGAATCGAATGTTTTTTGAATTATTCAAATCGGTTGATCCGTGTTGACAAAATTTGTATCCGCACATACACACATACATCCATTTTTTCTAAGGTATGCCAAAATGATCAAAAACCTTTGAAACGTAAAAATATATAAAAATTTTCATTTTCGATTTTTTTGCGATTACTATAACTTGCCCTACGGGAAGTTAATAAGTTGCAAATGCAAATCAACGTTCTTAACTGTTTTCTAAAAATGAACCAATCAAAGCATTTAAAATATACTATTTATATTTCTCCTATAACTAACTTTAATACTTGCCATTTTTCAAAAATTTCGACTAATATAGTATATACCATGTTTTCAAAAATTGTAATTTATTTTCACAAAAATCTATAACTTTTCGCACTCGCATTTTAAAATCCTTCTATTTTTATTTAAGTTTATCTAGTTTATAAGAACAAAATGCTAGTTATTAATAGATAAGAAACTCGGAATTCAAATTAATATAATTTAAAATGCCAAACTATTTGGAAAACAAGCCAAACAAACAAATTGTTTTTATCATCAAACATTAGATTTTTTAATTTCAATCTCTTCCATAAATATAATTTATTTCGTATTTTGTTCCATGAATATAAGAAGATATAACTGATGTCAGAAAAAAAACAAAGCGATTCTAAATAATTCATATCCTAACAATTACATATAACTCTAGAAAAAATAAAAACTTACATTTGATGTTTTCATAATCATATCTCTCAATTGCGAATTAGCAGGTGGAACGCTTTCTTGAAATAGACCATCATTAATTGAATATCTTGCTCCTGTCCTAAGGTCGCCGGTTCCTTAAAACAAAAATAAAACATTATAAATTATTTGCAAAAATCAAAATTTACGTAAATTTCACATTATTTATTATATTTTTCTGTAATATTTTTTGTATAATTTAATTTTTTAATTGTTTTCACATGAGAATAAAAATATGATCTGTTTCCCTGGCAGAATCCATTCGTTTGCAACATTTGTAAAACGTTTCTCTCAATTCAATTTTACCGAGCTAACTACTCATATGATGCATTAATTGAATTAATTTTACCAAATTCTTATGTGGAATCGGACTTATTATACTAAAATAATATTAAATAGATACAATATTTCCATCAATCAAAACTTATTTATAATTAATCCAGTAAATTTTTATGCTATTTAAAAAATTATTAATTCTCTTGTAGTAAGAGTTAAAAAGTAGAAAATGAATTATAATGGAATAAAATTTTAAAGAATGAAACAAATGCACAAATATCCGTTTTATGTTATTTTTAGTTTGAAACAAGATGAATATGTAAACAACATGAAAATATTTTTTTTCTTAAACATGTGAAGTTAAAAAAAATCTTGGATTCTAATAGGAAATGGAACTTATCACTTTATTTCAAATCTTATTGATTTGATTGATTTGAATTTATGTAAATTGATGCTCATAACTAATATATTTATAAATAAAAGTAAAAAGAAAACGATTAAAAATATGTTGTATGAAAGTTTTAAAAGTTTTAAAAAACTCAGAATTTAATTAATTACTAATTTCTGAAATGTCAAAAATGGTTTTCTAATAAGATAAAATTACCTTTGTTGTTTATGTCCATTGTGGAGAATTGAATGATCTAATGAATTTAAACGAACACTATTTTATAAATAAATATTGCTTTTACAATAATTGTTGATTGTTAATTTAACACAATTAAATAAATTAAAGTTTTGCAGCACAACTTAACCCGTAACAACCATTTTGCTTTTGAATTAGTTTCGCCTGACACCATGCAATATATGAGGGTTATTCTTATTGGGATAACGATGGTAACACTGTCTATATCTTATTAACTTATCTGCATATCAAATATTCAAACCCTAATTCAAATTATGTATAATAATTGTTAAAAACCATATTCAAAATAGATTACTAAAAACAATGAAATAAAAAATATATTAAAAATTAAATGGAACGAGATATTATATGTAAATTTGATGGTTTTTGGTTCTTTTATCAGAATTTTCTTATCAGAATACGTGACGTTTGTTGACGTTGCATTTTTTCAGTGTCAATGTATCTTGTGTAAATAAAAGAACCGTAAAACCATTTATTCTTTTGTCTTAACAATCTCTACAGTCTTACTTGTAAAGATAATACAATTGAAATGCGTCTAGTAATTTTAGAATCATCAGATTCTGTGGCCGAATGGTCTGCGAAATATGTATTAAAACGAATTACAGATTTTAAGCCAAGTGCTGAAAAGTATTTTGTTTTGGGTTTGCCTACTGGTGGCACTCCTCTTGGTATGTACAAGAAATTAATAGAATATCACAATAAAGGTTTAATCTCTTTCAAATATGTTAAAACATTCAACATGGATGAATATGTTGATTTGCCCAGGGATCACCCAGAAAGTTACCATCATTACATGTGGCACAACTTTTTCAAGTCGATTGATATAGATCCTTTAAATGTGCACATTTTGGACGGCAATGCTCCTGACTTGGAGTTAGAATGCAAAAACTTTGAGCAGAAGATTGTGGATGCCGGGGGTATAGATTTATTCATAGGCGGTATAGGCCCCGATGGACATATCGCATTCAATGAACCTGGCTCTAGCTTGGTGTCCAGAACAAGAGTGAAAACCTTGGCCCAAGATACTTTGGATGCTAATGCTCGATTTTTTGGAAATGACATAAATAAAGTTCCAAAACGGGCTCTGACAGTAGGTGTGGGAACTGTGATGGATGCAAGGGAGGTTATGATACTAATAACAGGCTCACATAAAGCTTTTGCTCTTTACAAGGCTATTGAAGAAGGTGTCAATCATATGTGGACAGTTTCTGCATTTCAGCAACATCCACACACATTAATGATTTGCGATGAGGATGCTACCCTCGAGTTGCGAGTAAAAACTGTAAAATACTTCAAAGCATTGAGTGCAGTACATTACAAACTTATTGGTGAAGATTTTCCGGCTTGTTAATTATCAAGAACATTAACATTTTTCTAAATTTGTTTTATTGATTGCAATATTTTTATAGACAATTATTCTGTATCATAACTTTTTATAATATTTTATATTCAAATAATAATAAATATGAAACAATCTCGTAGTTTATTAAATGCTAACAATAAGTGTCAAACTTTATAACTACTCTTATGAATATTGATTTATCAAATATATAAAATCTGATTTTCAGATCAAATATAGTTACAAAACAAATATGTGTATTCACATACTAACATTAGACTCAATAATTTTCAATATTGATAATACTGCAATGACATTAAGTCAATTTCAGTTTAAGTCAATTTTGCTAGAACAAATTTGATTAATGCTCTTAACATATTACTTTTTTCTATACAATAAAATGGTGAAAGTATAAATATAAGAGCACAATTTTTCCATAATGTGAACAATTTCACTTCTTTGGAACTGCTTTATCACTTTTTTAAGGATTATAAATTGAAATACTACTTTTTAGAATTTTCACTATAAAAATGTTGATTTTTGAAAGCATCTGTTTTTTGAAACAAAGGCTTTGATAACTTAATTTATCAAATAAAATCACCAGTTTCCTATCAATAAAATTGAATAAATAAATCTATTTCATTATGAACACTGCTCACTCCCTTGCACTAGATTTCCACTACTATTTCTTATGCAAATATTTTGGCATAATATGAAATATTCAGTCAACTGATGTGCAGGGACTTTGGCGCTACAGATGTGTGTCAGACACAAGATTCTTTATTTGATTTGTGAACAGCACAATTAGAACCAGGAGGGCAATTGCAAACAACTGAGTGATTGGATGTACCACCTAACAATGAACCACTTTCTAGATCACCAGTGTTTGGACCTGAAGAACCACCTATATAAAAACATTATATTATATTATATTATATTAGACAAATGATGTTTAGAACACTCAGAACAATGTCATACCTTGGACTCGTTGACCTGCTCCTCGTTGCCTGCACATAAAAGGTGAGGCCGCTGGTGATGGGGTATCTCTATCCTGCAATTACAATTATCTTTAATAAATTCAATTCACAAAAGAATGAACACCTCAGAAATTACAAAAATTTGATTTCAAATTGCAATGGCATTACACATATAAAAGTCTAATTCTGTTAAGTAAAATTAGCCAATACTTAATAATAAATGAAACATATGTTATCATTAAGTTCTTATGTATTAGTTATAAAAATATATTACATTCAAACATCTTTGCATACATAAATCATTCAACAAGCATTCATTAGCTATTACTTCTACCTGAGCCGCTTGGATGCTGAAATTAGATTATTATTTTGATATCAAATTATAAAAATTAAATATACAAGCAAAACAATATTAGAGATTTAAAAGTTTGAGCATTTCAAACAAAAATAATACTTACTGGTTTGGAAGTTCCACAACAAGTAGCTTGAGCACATGGTACATCAGTAATTGGGCAATCTAGAGCACATGGTTGCTCCATATCTCGTGAAGGCTCTAATAAACTTCTTAGTTCTACAAATTCTGGTTGTATTGTAGTAGAATGAATTCCCTCATTATGAAAGAATTCCTTAACTCTTTCTGCAATTTTCATGTACTCTGATAAATTTCTACACCTATCAAAATCATTCTTTATTAGAATAAATCATTTCAATATAATATCAATTTTAAACCATTCCGTTATCTATACCTTATGTGAGCAGAGGCAATGATACGATCTCCAGCTAGCTGCCACACATGAAATTCATGTACTGCTAATACACCATCAACTTTTTGTAATAATCTTTGCTGAATTGAATCAACCTAAAAAAAGTAATATATTAGAAAATATTCTATACCAAATTTTATACTAATGTCTTACTTGAATATGTGTGGGCACAGTTTGTAATAAAATGAGCGCAGATTCACGGAGTAAAGGCCACACACTGTGTACAATTAAAATTACAAGTAGTATACTTAGAGCAGGATCAATATAATAACGATATTTCCAATCGGTGAGCCATACCACAAGTGCAGATGCCACTACTATTACTGAACCTATAATGAAAAAAGCAGCTAATTCTACATTTGAACGAAAATTATATTGAATAAAGAAATAAACAACTTCAATAGTAAATAAAATAACCAAATACATTAGCAACTCCAAAACTCACCAAGAGCATCTGATAAAACATGTAGAAAGACACCTCTCATATTCAACTGTCCTGGGTCATGACTATGTGCATGTTTTACGGAAGCATTTACTGGAATTGGAGGTGGTACTGAAGGATACCCTTCATCATTTTCATTATCATCTGTTCCCATTTGTCCTAGGCGACTATGCTGATGGCTTAAGGAATGGCCCCCATGTGAATGACCATGCGAACCACCATGTTCTAATAGAAATATGAAATTATTTTATATGATTATATGAATTTGAGGGCAAAATATAATGCCTAATAGTAACAATGTATAATGCGCAAAATATCTAAATACTTCCAATATTAGTGAAACAATTGCTTACTGTGGAAAAGTAGTAGTCCAATTACATTAACCAGCAACCCAATAGCACCCACAATGACCAATAATTTGGGTTCATGTATCGGTTCTATTTCGATAAACCTTTTACAAGCTTCAACTGTTATGCTAAAGCACAGGGCCACAAGAAAAACAGCATTGATTAAGGCTCCTAGAACCTCCGCTCTCGCCCAGCCAAAAGTATTTTTTGACCACTTCTTGGGAGACATCTGAAGAATATTTTAAAAGACTTATTAAAAAACAATCAATGTGGCATCGTATCCATGAGGAAGAAAATAAAGGCTTTTTAATTAATTATATGCAAAATAAAGAAAATAAAAAATTTACAATAATGGCATTAAATACATTCAATATGCATGCTTATTCTGGACCACACATTTAGCAATCGATCATAAAATATTGACATGATTATTTTTAGTTTCTTATATCTCCATTCAGCACTTTATAAATATTTATATTCTATTGTTTTCAGACATGTATTATAAAGTTGAGATAGTTTATAGATATATTAGAATCATATACTCACTCGAACAGATACATAGGCCACTACGAGAGCTGCTACATCACTAAGCATGTGAAAACTATCTGCCACAAGAGCCATAGAATTTGTAACATATCCAACAATGATTTCCACAAAGAAGAAAAATGCTGTCAAACACAGCATTGACATAAGTCGACATTTTTTTCCACCGTACCGACCCATCACGTTTTATTTGGAATTATTCAGAACAATTGAAATGCTCGAATTGGATCAAAAATTATCAAAACATTTACAACCACGTTTGCTTTTATCAGCACATTATCTAAAACAACTTCAAACAAAGTCCTATGCACGTTACGAATTACTAAATAAACATAATAAAATTATTATCAGTGTTTACTTTTGGAATATGGGTCTCATTAAATTTCTATTGCAATAACTAATACACTTGTGATCGAAATTTGACAATAGTATACTAGAGTATACATCAGCTCGAGCTGTCACTTCACTCACACTTCACTAAACAAGTCACGTAGAAGGGGCCTTAGAGGAATCCTTGATTATTGATATTCATTCTTACGTCATTTTTTACACATTATAATTAATTCGAGACATTGAAGAGTTATCGAATATATAATTTTCAATTTCTTTGAACTGATGACTTATCGAATCGTCGCACGGCTACAATTTCGAGACGATTCTGATTTCGAATTGCCAGATACGACGGTACGAACAAATGAAATGCCGAAAATCTAGGAATTTAAATGATTCACACACCAAGTATGTATATGTAAATATACATATACACCAATATTAAATAAAAATACGTTTCCAGTTATACGGGTTAGTCCATGTTTATAAATTAATCGATTAAACGTAATTTATATTCATATTTTCAATTTGTTTCCTACATAACCAAGGGCACACTACACACAATAAAATCTTGAATGTGGAGGGTGCTTATAACGTATGTTTACGGATATAACGTGTTTACAAAATTTAAACAAGCTAAGAATTAAAAGGTTAAGAATTTCTTAAATTATTTTCATGATGAAGATTTAAAAAAAAAGGTTTTAATACAGAAAGATTATTTTTCCTGCGTTTCTAGGTAGCAGTCTTTTTCTTGCTTCATAGAAATACTATATATAATTATCTGGGTTTTATCCCCCAAATACCTAAAATAAAATGTGCAATAAAAACTTATATATTATATACGAAATATTGTCATGAAAATATAATATCCACTTTATGGAATATTTCTGGAAATACAATTTTTGAAAAGTATGGAGGACTTAGTAGAAAAAATCACATTGATACAAAATTTAGCACTAATACTTTTGCCTAATATTCTGTATTCAGTATACTGCAAATATACTATTCGTCATAAGCCCAAAAAAAAAACATATATATATATATATATATATATATATATATATATATTTCAAAAAAAAAAATAAAATAAATATAATATTTGTATATATATATATATATATATATATATATATATATATATATATATATATATATATATATATATATATATGATAAAAATTGTTTCTTGGGCATCCATCCAATAATTAAAAAAACAGTTTTAGTGCAAAATGTTTTAATTAAGAGAACATACGTTTCGGGTCCAGATTTGACCCATCTTCAGTGCTACAAATAAATATATCAGGGTTACAAATTAAAACAATATAAAAAATAATATAAAAGATACATAATTACAGACAAAAATAAGTAGAAACAATGTATATGAAAAGTATATATGAAAAACAACATAAAATAAACAAATGTAAAGAAACTCACCATACAAATAAATTTTAAAAAAATATAACGCAAAGAAACACAATCTGGACCCGAAACGTATGTTCTCTTAATTAAAACATTTTGCACTAAAACTGTTTTTTTAATTATTGGATGGATGCCCAAGAAACAATTTTTATCATATTATTTCACCATCTGAAGAAAAACCTCTCGCTTTATATATATATATATATATATATATATATATATATATATATATACAGGGCCGGTCCTACCTTGAATGCAATGCATGCAAAAAATGCGGGCGCACGCCTTAGGGGGCGCCAAAACGAGGTTCGGAAATGAAATTTATAATATATTATTCATATATTTTTTTAAATATAAAATCTAGAATACTTAATAGATTATAATAAACAATCCAACTTAACTATGAGACACAAAAAATGCATATTCAATTTGCAATGTGATATCAATAGAAACAATTAGCCAAATAATAACTCTGCAAATTTGTGAATTATTGTTCTGCTTATTGTTTAATGTGCTTATCAATTTTTTTCTTCGTTTGAAGTTAACGTGAAACCAAAAAAAAATTATTTAGTGTTCAATCCCGTAAGAGCAAACCTACGAAAGATTAAATTGATTATTGAGCGTTATTGGTGAAAAACGGCAAGCTGATTTAGTTGAAATGGAACTTGTTAAAGAAATATATACTAATTATAATAAAAAAAATGGGAAATGGAGAGTCAGTGTTTAGAAAATGGCTTTTTTATTTATTATTAGAATTGAATTGTAACTTTTGTTTTTGTTGCAAATGTTTCACTTCTGATGAACTTTGAACGTTGAAGACATGCGTGGTTAGGTTTATGAAGCAAATATGAAAAATGGAAGCAAAATGTACTTAGGAACAAAAATCTTTAAGCTTTTTCATACATAATTCAATTATAAACTATGCAGCAATAATACGGACACAAATATAATTTCTTTGTTTCAGTATAGTTAAGAAAATGTGCAATTTCTTTGCATCTTTTACTAATCTTTGGACAATACTTTAAAAATAAGTTAAAAGTTTAACTTTAAAACAATAATCTGATACTCTCAATCTGATGGGAAAGTAAAGCTGGATAGAATTCGGCCCTTATGATACCAATAAGGAGAAGTTTACGATGCAATTTTGGATATAATTGTAAATAGTGAAAAAATAAATTAAAATAAAATTTAATTTCAAATTCAAAATACGAGTGTTATGTTTAAAAATCAAAGACTAGTTTTTTTGCTCTTTTGGCGTGATTTGCTCTATAGAATAAATCGCGTAATAAAAAATAAGTTAAATATTTCAAAGCCTAAATATCAATATTACACATACGTTAGAAATAATTGAGAATTTATAAATATTTGATTATGATCAACCCGCGAATCGTCTCAATCGTCTAAATAAATTTAAAATCAATGTATTTTACGCGCTTTTAGATTATATCTAATTTTTTGTGTACTAAATCCAAAATGATTAAAAAATAATTAAAAAACTTAACGTGAATATTTATATAATTGGGGGGGGGGGCGCTAGAACAAAACTTGCATGCGGGCGCTGAGGACCCCAGGACCGGCCCTGTATATATATATATATATATATATATATATATATATATATATATATATATATATATATGTAAATACTTATCAAATGAACCTCCTTCTTCACCATCAGTTTTGAACATTTTATATCAGTATTTATTTCATTCGACTAAAAACTTTATATTATGTAAGAAATCTCAATATATTTTTAGTTTAAAATTGTGTTAACAATTCTCCATTAATAATTTTTCCTAAAATACCAGACCATTGCATGCGATGGCTGTGCTTTATAATCGGTGGTATAAATCTATTGTGTTGCAATGGTGATAATGGATATGCAGTGGCATGTATAATATTATTAGATAACTTTGATTCTAAATGAGCTGTACCTATAATATAAAAATAAATATAATAATAAATTTGCTAATAAGTTTTACCATAATTTTATTTACTTGGTACTGCGACTGAACCAAACAACCATAATAAAGACGTGTATATGGGCATAGAGTGCAATAGTTCTCTAATCCAATCCAGTACTTCCATAATGACTAGCATAATTATTCTTAACTAAAATAAAAATTCATTTGAAATCATGTATATTATTAATAATAAAGTATTTGAAAATTACCACTGTAAAAACTATGTAATATAAGGTTGTTGTTGGAAGCAAGAAGAGAAATATAGTGAATCCTAATGTACCAATAAATAATTGCCTATTGCTATACGAACATGAATCCACCCTGTCTAAAAATAAATTATAAATTAAATATTAATGATGAAGGTTTAATGATCATCAAACAGTATTCACCTCTTAATGGATTATATTTTCTACCAAGAAATAATCTCCATAGTGCTTTTAATCCTTTAACTTGAATATTATAAAGCCTTAAATATTAAAAAAAAATAATATAGGTAAAATTATAATAAAGTAGTGCAGTTCAATTTTATATACAGTTAAGACATACTTGGCAGCATATACATATATGCAATGAACATGAAACGTAGTTAATGAAATAATATCACAGATCATTGCTGATTGATAAGAAATTCCTAATGTTCCTAAACAAAATAGAACATTAAAACTATGACAAATCCATGGAGACAATTGAACTGTAAAAAAAAAATTAAAAACAATATTAAAAATTGTTATGAGGCGCAAATAATGAATTGCTAATAAATTACCTAGAAATATCCACCAGAGCTCAATATGATATAAAAAGCACTTTCCAAGCATTGTATTGAATGCTTTATTCAATTTTAGACCAACAGGAGACCCCATTAATGAACTAAGTAATTCACGAAGGTACATTACGATATACTGTAAAATATAATAAAATTGTGTCATTAATATAATAAACAATTTCAATTATATCATTGAATTACCTCAGCACCATCAAGCAATGGCTCAACAGGCTGGTAAATATCTTTAATTTTCCACAAAACAAAACATCCCACGGCTATATCAGCCAGAATTGTTATAAGAAGACTACGCTGTTGCAATCTATCAATAATAATATTATTGTAGAAATTGAGACAGTCAAAAGTTTATATTTTGATATAAAGTCATACTTTGCACCGTTTTCATGAATTTCAACAATTCCATTTATACACTCTTTAAGATTTCTATAGAATGCAGAATACTTTCCAATTATTGAGACAGAATTGAGAAATCTTGAAATATATAGAAGGGAAATAAAAAATATTTGTAAAACCAGTTTTTTTATTAACTCTGCAGGGCCATGATTATTGATTCTTTTTGTTTGCTCATGCTTTCGTGCCTTTATAAACTCGGACAAAGTTGCGAAATGATCATATGGTTTAACAGAACTTTTTGAAGTTTCAAAATTATTATTATCTATATAGGCAATTAGAAAAGCATTATAGTCATAATATACTACTATTGGTTGTATTGACGAGGGAAGCATCCTATTCCTTAATTTAACATCTTGTATACATATATGCCATTCTTCTGCATCTGATTGACTTATACTAATAAAATTTGGCGTACAAAAATTAATTTTATTATTTGGTTTAATTTTATCTACACTATCGAACCCAATTATCATGAGTTCTTCATTGGTAAGAGGTAATTCGGAAATACTGATTATTTTATCTATAATATAAAAATTAATATCGTTTTTAACTATTTTCACATTTCCCAATAAATATCCGGAGTTTTTATTTGATTTTAATTTATCAGGTACAAATATAATTAATGTATACATTGTTCATCTTATGATATATAAAAAAAAATAGATATCACTTGAATTATAAAATATAAAATTCATTGCTCGTTTCTTAACCTATAATTGAGAAAACTGACATTACAGTATTTGACAGTAACATAGATAAAAATTCGGGACCAAGAGATGAAGATTACAGACACTCAGTAAAATCATCTGTAAAAAACGTTCGAAATTCAAAAATAACTTATTTAGCATATGTGAAAAAAGTGCATTGACAGAAAATCTGGCAAAGGGCATCGGTAGCCGGTAACTGAGTACTTTTCTCATATAAATGGGTTCAGTTTAATTTTTAGATTCACTAGTTCATTACTTATAGTTTATTACAGTTGTCAATCAAAATTTAATAAATTTTAACAGCCAAACTGTGAAAATTAAAAATACTTTATGTGAGGTCATTTGGCAAGTTTTTCAGGTAAAGAATAAATTACTTTTATATACAAATTATATAAATATTATTCTATGTAAAATACAAGAAAAATAAATATTGTGGTTTAAAACAACTACAAAACTTAGGCATAAAATTGAAATATGAACCAACAATCAAATTTTGTAGTTTGTCATATCATTTTTTAAACTAAAATTCTCAAATGAAAATGATTGCAAAGAAATGGCATACTTTGTGGCAAAATGTATAAGTAACTTTTGATATTCATTAATTCTGTTTGCTTAATTACAGCAAATCTGTATGTATTTTAGTGTACATATATTATTCCCATTTCCTTTCTCTTTCAAATATTTTTTTAACCAAAAATGTGAACTTTGTGTGACTATATCTTATATATTGGCACAAAATTGTTATACAATGTACGATTACAAAAATCTTATTGAATATTAATATTACCACTTTCACAAATGCATATCACAAGTCTTAATATTACTAAATAAGAAATTAAGCTTGACATTGAAGCAGATACTGTAACATAATTGATCTTTATATTGTTCATATTAAAGTTCGTTTCTATCTCCCTTCGGTTTTAAGGTCTCCTCCAAACATTTTGTGTCTGAGCCATGTAAAATTCTGTCTTTACATAAATAATGTTTCAAAGGTATAGAACCCTGGTGTTTAAAATACCATTCTTCAATATCTGACTCATAGTTTTCAAGCATCGTTTCACACTACAAATTAAGTATTGATGCAATTACACATAATGTTATTCGTACAGTAGTCAAAGTTGAGCAAACCTGAGTTTTCATATTCGTAACTTCTACAGATGGTTTATCCCAAAGATCATAGGGAATGCCTAGATCTACTTTAACACCTTTATCAACTAAACCATGTAGTGTTTGGAATGTTTCACTCATACCCTTCGCAAATCTGGTGCTATCTTTCCTTTCTTTATGTATATTATATTCCAGAATTCGTTCGCAAACTCCTGCAAACATGTTTTTTTAATGGTTTATATTTATTTATCTTTTTCAATGAAGTATTTGGCATCATACAATACTAAAGTCCTGATACCATTCTTTGGTTTTACCTTCTAATGACTCCAATAATCTTAGCTCAGACTTTTCATATTTGGTTTTTTTCTTTGGTTTTACATCATCTACTGAATATCCAAGTTCGATAACATCGTGACTTTTTCCTGTTTCATCTAATCTGTTCTCTAGCTCAATCGACATAATTTTGCAGACTAAAAATAAGTAATTTCTTGAAATAACATTATAATAACTTTTTGAAGCTGAAACTAACCTTCACATCTATCTGCATATTTAACGCCATGATCCTCTTCCGTAGTACATAAAGCAATATTACTAATATAGTAAATTACTATGCACAATTTGATCAAATGCAACATATCGAAGAAATTATAATGTAAAATGAATATTATTAAAATAGTTTATATTTGAGTCATTTGAGTTATCAGTTACTGACACTTTACCAGAGCTCAAGAACGTCAAATTGACATAAGGAAAGCCAATGCGGGTAACTTGAAAAATGGCACCAAATTCAAAATTCTAATAACAAACTTGTCCTTAAAAAAAAGTTCAAAATATGCATAATATTTATTTATTATATTTATCATTTATCAGAACAGAATTTATTTATTATATTTATCATTCCCAAATAATAGAAAATCACAAATTATAGTTATATTAATTTTTGTTTAGATGTATGATGGTTTTGTGAATGAATTTAGAACTCATACAATTAAAACAAATTAATCAAAACATAGAAGTTTTAAAATTCATTTGAAGGATTCAAAATCACAAATGAATTAATTATTAAATAAATTGAGTTTATCACTATTTTTCTTCACATAAAGCAGATTTCATCATCATTTACAGAAGTTAAGACTAGAAAAGTATACATAAACGTTTACATCATGTCAAGTACCAATTAAATTATTTAAATGTTTGTATGCATATGTTTCAAGACATTTTATAAATATATTGTTAAAAGTAATGAAGTGAAATATTGAGAAACACTAAAGTATATTGATCGTAGCATCCTAGAACGTTGATTGACAGTGGTCTAGTAAATTACCTTTCAAATGCCATATATATATATATATATATATATATATATATATATATATATATATTTTACCCAATTTACATCATACAATAAGTTGATTTTCGCTAGAAAATTCGGCTAGCAAATTATTTGCCTTTTGGTTTTTCTAGTCATTCTGAATAGTTTTTCTCAATATCAAAAATTTCTCAATTTGCAAAACGATCAGCAAAGCCGTTTTTTTAGAATAAGTAGAAAAGGTTTTGCAAGATCTATCGTCCACGTAATATACATAACATATAAAATTAAGAATAAGTCTTAAGATCATTTGCGAGTCGTGCTGATTAGTTTTTGTCCAAGATCAGCCAGGCCGTTTTTCGTAATTAAATGTTATATTTTTGAGTTTTTAATAAAATTCAACATGCCAATAAAGTTCATCTAAACAAATAACACTCTAAAATATTAGAGGCCTACGAAAGTGGTTGAATTATACAAATTTAATGTTTGCGAAAATGGATTGCATTCTTTTATACTGCATTCAATTATAATTATTGCCTTTATTATAATAAGCCCATTTCAAAAATATCAATTGAAAATCGCATTGGTTAGTTGGATATTTTATCAAAATAGCAAGACCTCATTTCCTATAAGAATTAGGTCGATTCTAGTAATAAAGTCGATTAATTACACTATCCGGAAGTTCATGCAACTTGCCTTAAGGCAAAATGCATCTAATTTGTATAGTTTTCTGAGTTATTTTTCTATTTATATACTGCATTGTTTTATTCTGTTCACAACAAAGGAAACCAGCATGGTCAAGGCTAACGGAAGATAAAAAATTATCAATTTCAAATAGAAAACCCGCATAAGCATTTATGCTTATGGAAACAATTTTAAAATTACATACTTGTAACACTTCAATAAGTACAGCTGTCTATGTCTATACTGTAAAATAATGTATCATGACGGCTGTTTTAGTAGTATATTTAATGCTCAACTCCTATATTTATCATTTGATTTTTAATAAATATCATTGTTATTTTTTTTAACATTAACTTCATTTTGAATGAAGTAAAAATGCGGTACATTCACACACTTCTATAAATTTTGGGATACTTGAGAACAAAATTCTTCGTCCGCATTCTCCAAAAATCTTGAAAAAAAACGTTCGAAAGATATCAATTAGGAATCTTGCTGATTAGGCTTTCGGTAATATCAACAAGCCCTCTTCGTAATTAATTTTTAAAAACTTTTTTTTGACTCTTTTGATGAAACGATAGTAGAGTTAATGATCTTAATGAACACATTAAAATCTCATAGACCTGTGAAAATTGGTTGATTTACAAAAATTCATCGAATTAACTATCATATCAAATATATAAAATTAAAAAAAATATTGTCACAATTTTTAAAGTTGCTAATTCTTATTGTTTCGTTAACTTGCATTAAACTAAAATTCCACTTACGCCTAGTCATTTATTGATTAAAGCAAGTATTTTTTTGGTTGTACATGCATAAATAAGAGATATAGTCAATATAAGATTTTATAAATTTTTTAGCACAAAAATCGTGCTAAGAAGAACTTGAATATAGTTGAATATAGTATAGCTCTGATAGGAAATTAAATTTTGAATTGAGAATTATAATAATAAATGGACATGCTTCCAAAAAATGATATTCAAAACTATATGACGATTAAATAATAAATTGTACTAAAGATCCAGATAAGCGCCTCATAATAACGATCAGAATTAATGAAAAGTTTGACATATATTTTTAAACTATTAAAATCAACCCAGGAAAATTGTTTCAAAAATGATAAATAAGATTTCAATAATATAATAATTCGATATTTCCATTTAAAGAATTTTGAATAAAACTTTATAAGTTTCTTTTCCATCGTTAATATTTATTTTTCTTTTCAAGAAGCAATCACTGGACTGTGAAATGATGATTTTAATGGATTTTTTTCCATTATAGGGGCTGTTTCATTCCACATGCGATATGATGAGCAAATGTCATAACGGGCATTAAAAATAGGCGCCAATTTTCCTTCACAAATTTTATATTTTTATTATTTTTTTAATGAAATTTGTTGTGCAATTCTTTGAATTCCGATAGAGAGATTGAAAGATTTAGAAAGGTGATTCCCAAAGTGGTCCATAAGAAATTTCAAGGGGTCTACGCCAACGAAAGAAAAGTGAAAATTGAGTAGTGCAATACACTATAGTTACATTTAATTAATTAATTGTATTGATTTAATTTTAATAATCAATTATTATTCATAATATCAATTTACTTACATTATACTATCATTAATAAAAAATCATATACAATATTTCTAAATAGACCAGAAAAAAAGTCATTCGTTTGTTATCGCATAATTTTTGGACTTAGGCTCTGTAATTTTTTTTGCGCTTTTTGATACTATTGTAGCATTTCTGGTAAACTTAAGAGAAAAGTGTAAAAACGGTTTAAAAATTGTAGCACAATACCTAGAGAAAAGGAGATTTAGTTTTATTACCGATCTCCTCTGTATGTAGTCTGGACATCATTAGCCAGATATTATTATTATTATTATTATTTTTATTTATTTATATATATATATATATATATATACATTATTTTCATATCTATATGAAAAGAGATTATGAAAAACCGTTTTCATATTTTATATATACATTTCATTTGACTATTTCATTAATATAATATCTATTATAATTAAAATATCTTTATATATAACTCTTCAGTCTTCTTTGTCTTCAATTTCCTTATAGTATTCCTTATAAAATTTTCTGCAATTTCACTTATAACTTACTTTATTTCTAATGCAATTAACAAATGTATAAACTTTTAACATGTCTTTTTACGTTTTTTGTGTTTATGACCAGACTTTAAAATAGCTGGAAAGTTATAAAAAAAATAAAGATAAATAGAACGTCCAGGGCAAAGCGCAAGGGATGCAACTATACAAAAAAGTTATGGAAATATATGATTAAGAATATGAAAGGGTAAACGTATGATCAACAAACCGTGATGATATACTCGAAACATGTTGATATACTTGAAATCTTACTATTAATTGCTTTGCATAATTCAGTTATTTTTAAAAATCGTAGTTTTTAATATTCCACATTAGCCTGATCGTGAGAGAAACCAGTTTTAATCTTGTCATCGTGTCTTACAGAAATTCTTCCGTTAAAAAAATGCAACCGTATGTTTTTTAACTATTTGTGTATCAGCTGACAAGACTGACGCCTAAGAAAGAAGGAAGACTAGTATTAATTTCAGTGTTTCGCATATGTTAAGGACTAAGCGCCCTTTGCAAGCTGACAGCCTGGCACCGTGCCGCAGAGGCAGGTAGCCACGCTTGACCGACCGTCAACCCACCTGCCAGGACGAAGGAGAAATGATATACACAACATTACACTTTAGTTGGTTTTATTTTAATAATTGCATCTATGTGCTATTTGTTTTCGTTAGTTATAAAAAAATACGAGCTCTTTTTACATTTTTGTTAATGAAAACTATGAGAAACTTTATAATTCTTTATTACTAGATGACCCGACAGACGTTGTCCTTTATCCATGTCTACAATTTTTTAATATAATAAACTAATATTTACCGTTTGCCTAAAAATAATAATTATTGTTTTTTGAATTACTCTTCACACCAAAATGCATATACATTTATAATATGAGCGATGTTAAATGTAGAACTGCTTTAAATAAAATGATGAGTTTCAATTCCCACACTATATTGGAAATTAAAGTCTTTTAAACGGTGTAACATAACCATAACCATAACATAACACTGGTACTTCATGTTGGATTAAATTAATTTAATTTTTTATTATTTAAGATGTCCAAAATTGCATCTTAAACTTTTCCTAATCGATATCGTGAGAGCCGAACTGTATGTATTCATCTTTACTTTTCCATTTGTTGTTGCAAAGTACGAATTTTAAAAAGATTGTGGAAAGATTAGTAAAAGATGCAAAGAAATTATATATTGAAAAAAACTATATTGAAAATTTAATATCCGAATCTTGTGTTGGCGCCCCCTAAGGCGTGCGCTCGTGTTTTTTGCATGCATCGCATCAAAGGTAGGACCGGCCCTGATTAATGCTTAATTTCATATTTTAAGTGAATTAATTTGCCATATCCTGTTCATATGTGTACCATTCAATCTGCCATACAGATACTGTATTTTATATTATTTTAATTTCTGGCACATCTCAGCTGCGTTTTGGCAATAATAATGTAGACATTTCATTTTTCTTATTCATAATCATAAATTTATTACTCATATTCTAATATTGTCTAGGTTCATAGGTAAATTGAAATTTTTGGCAGATGATAGTTTTCATTTGTTCTGAATGCAAACAATGACATGTCGTTTTTTGAAATTTTTTTCATTTATT